GGTGCTTGGGATGGCTTTGGTGGGGATTGAACTCCGGACCATCAGCTTTTTGGTTTGAGACAGTTTAGACCGCTCGGCCACCAAACTTCCCTCAATTCACATAACAATGTCCATTGCCCTACAACTCTTACCAGACACCCTAAAAATGATAGTAGGCATCAGATAATTCATGTCTATTGCTTTTGCTGTTATCATGAACAATCACCTAGCCCCATCATTTTACTGGGTAATGTCAGAATAGCCATAGCTGGAATGAACCGTGGTGGGTAATGTCATGCATCTTTGTTTGGCTCTTTGCAGTCCTGCTATCGTGTACCTGATGTCACCCCATTAACATTTCTATGTTGCTTGACATCATAGTGTTTGTTCGTACTACAGCATTAAAATACTATTTTCAGAAACAACCAGTGGCAATTGAGTTACAAACAGTCAAGCCTTTATTAACCAAACACACCCCATTGCAATTATTTTCAAAATACAGACTTAAAAGCCTAAAAATTGTACAGTCCATTTATTCACTAATGATAAAGACTTGCAAATGGTAAATATATTTCCCCACCATGTGTACCATGTATTAAATTATATGTAAGAGAATGCTGGATATGCAGCATGAGGCATAAGTCCATTCTGTTTAATGAAAATTAATGTATTTATTAAATTTCATAAGCCTTTTGTTTACAATGATACCATTGACCATTTGTCTGCATTTCTCAAAAGTTATGATCTATACAGTAATAAATAGCTCATCTGGTATTGTTCAATCATTACAATTATGTGGATTGTGGCTGTAAGAAATCTTTTAAAATATTTCTTCCTGATGGTGACTTATATTTAAAGTTCAACACATTTTTTAAAAATTATTCCTTTACGAAAGGGAGAATCCTATTAATTTTGTTTAAAATATTTCTTCCTGATGGTGACTTATATTTAAAGTTCAACACATTTTTTAAAAATTATTCCTTTACGAAAGGGAGAATCCTATTAATTTTGTTTAAAATATTTCTTCCTGATGGTGACTTATATTTAAAGTTCAACACATTTTTTAAAAATTATTCCTTTACGAAAGGGAGAATCCTATTAATTTTGTTTAGTATCTCACTTTAGAGCAGTGGTTCTGAAAGTGGACGTTACTACTCCCCAGGGGGAAGTGAGAGGCCTTGTAGAAGTAAAGGGGCATTTTGACTCACAAAGGGGGCGTTAGCTAATCAGGGGTAATAAGGGGAGAGACTGCAATCAGGTTAGTACAAAATAAAATGAGTAAAACAGAGTATGGTTAAACCTGAAAAATTAAACGTAACAAAACAGCGAACGTGTCGGCAGAAAGCCTTCGTCAGCGAACAAAACAACAGAAAAAACGTTATAAAAATAAGAAATAGCACTTAGCTGGTAAGTAGTATCT